TGCACTTCAGGATGCTTGGCCAACACTGGCATATGAACCCGGATGCGGTTTCCACTTATGTAAGTGGAAAGACAGTAAAATCTTCTCACCAGGGGTGTAATTGCAGGCTTTAAGAGTGGCAGGAAGTGGCCAGGAATGGGGGCTAGGTGGGTACACAGGCCTTTAATCCCAGCAGAGGATTTATTCCCAGGGAGGCAGAGGCAAACTGATCTCTGTGAGTTGGAGGCTAGCCTGGTTTACATGGCAAGCTTTAGGATAGCCAGGGCTACACAGTGAGACGCTGTGAGTGGTAGGATGGGGTGACATAATATAGGAGCCTACGTTTTCATTCTCATTAATTGGCCTTGGAACTGGACAAGATTATTAAGTTTCAGTTTTCCCCTTTCAATGGAGATGAGATGGTAGTGACTCCAGGGTTGCTGTGAGAACTAAATAAGTAAATACTTACCCAAGCACTTAAAAAGCAGTGCTTCACACAATCAATAATGCATGGGTGTCCAGGAACACGTCCTAGTCAACTTTACCAGAATTTCTTCATTCTTGATTAAGGCCATTCTTTTAAACACGAATTGTTTAAGTACTAGGAGCTGTTAAGTAATTGTTGTAGTACTAGGAATTAGATTTGGGCCTCACACGTGTTCGGCCCAGTGCACTGCCAGTGAGCTGCCCATGGCTCAATGATCTGAACACCTATTCCCCAGCTGATGGTGTTGACTTGGTAGAGTGGGGCTTAGTTGGCAGAAGTAGGTACTTTGGTGGGCCAGACTCTTTCTTTACATTGTTTCTATTGGGTGTTAGAGTCACAGGGGTGAAAAGGTAACAGACAGACACAATGTAGTATTTCTCTATTGATTTAACCATCATATTATTTCAGGCATGCTGATGAGATGTATGTGTTACTTGTAGGTTCATGACCCTATGCCAGTCTCTCCTCTCTGCTCTCATTCCCTGAAGACTGAGGAACTAGTAACAGGCTCATCTGAATTATCAGCTAATGGGAAGTATGAACGGCTCTTCAGGGTGGCATCGTTGAGGGACTCACCCATCTCTACTGTCTTGTGTTTACTTCTGCATCCTTTGTAGACTGCACCGAATACACTTACGTGGATGACAGAAGCACTCTAAACTGAACTTTTATGTCAACTGCAGGGGCATTTTAAACTTTAATGAGGTATGACTGTCTAAAGTTTGTACATGCCAGGCAGTGTTAGCACATGCCTTTAATCCCAACACTCCGGAAGCAGAGGCAGGCAGATCTCTGTGAGTTTGAGACCAGCCTGGTCTACATAGTGAGTTCCAGGACAGTCAAGGCTGCAGAAAGACACCTTGTCTGGAAAAACAAACAAAAAATCTGTACATATTTTATCAGATGTATACACTGAGAGATGGTTAGCGCAATCAGTCTAATTAATGAATCACAATATGTTAATTTGTGTGCACACTAATTAGATTCGAGGGGTAATGTTAGCAGATTTGAAGTATACAATATCACTATATCACATTCTGTGCTACGTGTTTATTACACGGCCAGAACCAACCCAAGTCTGTACCCTTTAACCAGAATCTTTTTTTTTTTTTTTGTCTTCATATGATGGAATTTAAACCACTCATTTGGAACTTTCTTAAAGCAACTGCTAGTGACTGATGCCTGCTCCCAGTTCAGGTCATAGTTAGAGTGGATGGTTATACCTAGTAAGCTGGGCTACCCATAGCAGCATCATTATTTCAAAATACTTTTACAAGGAAACAATCCACTTGAAACTAAAATCCACAAAGTAAAAAATTCCAACATATCTACCAAAGCAAGCAAGCAAACTGTTAAATGTCTTAATTTTAACTACATTTATGATGCTGCTATGGGTAACCTAGCTAACTAGATACAACCTTCCACTCTATGATCTGAGACAGGAGCAGGCACGATAGCAGCACTGAGTTTCTGAAGAGGCTGACCATGGACATGATTGTATCTGAAAGATCTACACAGCCAGGATATTGCTCAGTGAGTAAGATAAAGGCACCTGCTGCTAAGCCTTACAATGTGAGTTTCATCCTTGGGACTCACAGGGCAAACTGTCTTCTGACCTCCACATATTCCCGGTGGCAGGTGCACAGAGTTAATGTGAAAAAAGAAAAGTTCTATATAAAAAGGTTGCATTATATTTAGTCATTATAAAGAAAATGCAAATTCCAATTCTTTCCAGTGTGTATCAGTATCCTGTAGAGTATTTTCTGTGTGAGAATGTAAAAAAAGTTGGGAAGCAATGACAGTATAGGGTGGTACCTGTATATTATTCATGTCTGTATGCTACTCCAGGACAGAGTTGTTCTGTTGGACTCTAAGATCCATACCAGGGGATGAGCTCCCGCAGAAACACACAGGGACAGGGGATTCGCTGCAAAAACATGAGGTTTAATGGTAATAATAACCAGTGCAGTGGGGTTCCCTCAAACGCAGGCAAGAGGAACCCTGAGCTAAAGCTGAGAGCGGTTTTTATACAGTTTAAGGGGTGGACTGGAGAAACAGTGATTATGCACACTATGATTGGCAGAGCCGGGCAGTGGTGGCGCACGCCTTTAATCCCAGCGCTTGGGAGGCAGAGGCAGGCGGATTTCTGAGTTCAAGGCCAGCCTGGTCTACAGAGTGAGTTCCAGGACAGCCAGGCTACACAGAGAAACCCTGTCTTGAAAAACCAAAAAACAACAACAACAACAAAATATGATTGGCAGAACAGTGTGACTTTTAAACTGACTGGTCTTTGAGGAATGGGGTGGTAAAGACCTCCCTTGTCTCCAAGTGGTAAGGGTTGGTCCATCCTGCGGAATGTGTCTGCATGCTCTGGGCCTTCCCCACCCACAGGTGGGTTCCCTTCTCTGTGGTCTGAGGAACATTAATCAGCCTCTCCCTACTTCTGAATGTTAATCCAGCAGATGTCCTTTAAGGAATGTGCTCCTCCTGGGATGTGTCCTGGGGCAGTTAATTTTTAAGTTTAACTGAATTCCTACAGTTTCTCTTCATAAAGAGCCACTGATTCATGTAACAAGCTCAAGCAAGCTGGTTTCTGCATCTTTGTGTTCAACCATAAGCACAATGTCCTTCCCAGTCACCCCTCACCTCCCACCAGCACCCTAACTTCTTTATTCCCAGGGTGGTAGAAGAAATGGAAAGATGGCTTTATTCATTCTGCTGTTATTGTCTTTTTGGGGGTGAAACGCAGGGCCTTTGCACGTGAGACAAAAACACTATCATTAAGGTTTATTCTCAGTCCAGTAAAACAGGCAGTTTAGATCACCGTGTTGAAAATGAATAAATATATATATATATTTAAAGATGATCTTATTTCTCTATAAGCTATGAAGCTAAAAGCAGCTGAGATTTTCAAAAAGGGAAGACCAGTAAGAGATAACCAAGTCCTAGTCTATTTCTGCCTGTTATTTTCTTCTGGTTTATTGAGACAGCATTTCTCTGTGTAGTGCTGTCTGTCCTAGAAGCTCTGTAGACCAGGGTGGCCTCGAGCTCAGAGATCTGCCTGCAAGGATTATAAACATACATCACCAAGTCCCATTCTTACTCAAGCGATATGGAAATTGACAAGGAGAAGCTTGTGTTGAAGCAGGCTGAGCCGGAACTCAAGAGCTCTTGAGTTCGGCACTTCCTGATCATTGTTACTAAGTCTTTCCCTTTGCACCCACGTGGGTCCATGCACACAAACAGGCATCAGATGTGTCGAAGAAATCTCAACTCAAAAGACACTAGATGACTCCTAGAGGAATCAGTGCCTGAAGAGTCAGTGCCCACAGCAATAAAGAAAGGATGGAAAAAAGAAAGAAGCCATTTTCTTTTCCTTCTTATGAAGGCTGTTCATTTCAAAGACCAAGAATGGAGATCACACTAAGAATGGACTTAGCAAGCATTTAGCGGACAATTATTTCTGCATTTAATAAAGCAATTTTTTAAAAAATAAGAAGCGCCTTTAAGTTTGCAGTATCAATAACATGTACTGAATGCACAGTATAACAGGGTTTTGTTAATCAGTTCAGTATCTTCTGATAGGGTCTCAAGCAACATGCAGTCTATGCTGTCTTCAGACTCACTATGCAACGGCAGGTGACTGTCGTGGTTTGAGTACGAATGGCCTCACTAGGCTCATGTTTGAACACTTGGTCTCCAGCTGATAGAACTGTTTGGGAAGGATTAGGAGGTGTGGCCTACCACCGAGGGTGGGTGTGGTGGTCTGGATGAGAATGGTCCCCTATACTTGAATACTTAGCTGTTGGTAGACTGTTTGGAAAAACTGGTAGATATGGCCTTGTTGGAGGGGCCTGGGGGTGGGCTTTGAGGTTCAGAAGTCCATGCCAGGCCTAGTCACTCCTGGTTACTGGCCCTATCGTGCTGCCTAAGGATCAGGATCTCAGCTACTTCTTTGGCATCACGCCTACCTGCATGTTCCCATTCTCTTCATATGATAATTTACTGATCCTCTAAGACTGTAGCAAAGCCCCCAGTGAAATGCTTTCCTTTATAGGAGTTGCCTTGGTCATGGTGTCTCTTCACAGCAATAGAACAATGACTTAGACGGGGGCTCTGAGGTTTCAAAAGACCTACACTATGTTCAGCTCTCTGTCTCCAAATTATGGTTCAAGATGTGAATTCTCAGATGATCCTGCTGCCATGCTTTTCCTCCACCATCATGGACTTTAACTCTCTGAAACTGTAAGACCAATTAAACAGTTTCTTAATAAAAAGCCTTGATCATGGAGCTTTGTCAGGGCAACCAAAAAGTAACTAAGACATTGAGCTTGAACTTCTGATTGTCCTATCTCCACTTCCCAAGAGCTGGGATTATAGGAGTGTGCCATAGTGCGTGGGTTAGTATCTGTTTTTACACTTGCCTTTTCTAAAAGTGAAAGAAAATAAAAATCTCTAAACTATGCAGCCTAAGTTTTCTATTTAAACACAGAGACTTTGAGTATTTTGTATACAGTAAAATACATCATAATGGTCACTTTTTAATGCTTTATTCATTGATTAAAAGAATATACATTTAACATAAACCATACAACATCAGTCATCAGGTCAAACATTCAGCTGGTTTCCTTACAGTTTCTGTCAGGAGTTATTTTATCTGATCACATATACAAGATAAAATCTCACCACATCTGGCATTTACACACACTGTGCCAGTGGATTCACACTACTGATGTACATATAAAATCCGCATGGTATGTGCTCACTGGAGACAAAACAGTGCACACCTGTCAAAAGGTCATTTAATATAAGATGGTAAAACCATTTGTAAAACATATAAACTTTTCCATAAATAGAATCATATCTGGACATCTGTTGCATAAATTGTGTTTCCAAAGCTTACAATAGAGCAGCCAGGTCTCAGCACTGCTGGGCACCCACGTTGGCTACTTACTTTATTATTGCAGACTGTCCTTAACATTAAATGCACAACATTCGTACCACTTAAAACTTGGGTCAGGTGGAAGTCTCACAGAGACCACGTCTGTACCGCGGTTGCCCTGAAACAGTTAAGTTGGCTTTTAAAGCCTCTCAGATATAACAAGGTTTTAAAACATACTTCATGGAATGTTCTTCATGTATCATAGCAGCTCATACCTGTGATGGAACAAGCTTTTGGTTTTCCTTTCCTTCCTTTACATTCACTATTCACAGTGAAACAGGTGCATGTTTTTTTTTCTTTTTTTTTCTTTTTTTATATTTTTTTTCAGAGTTCTGAGGTTGCTGACTGAGCCACAGCACAGCTGTGTACCACAGGTCGAAATTCGACCTTAAATATTACAATCTAGCAGTATCTGGCTGGCCAAAGCTGGCCAGCCCCTGCCAGCATGTGGGCACTTCTTCATGTAAATCTATTCTTTGGCAGCTGACACTTGCACTGACAGAGAGAATCCAGTGACTTGTTAGGGATTTCACGACTAATGCTGGTTTGCAAGCCTGTGCATTTACAGTTCTGTGCTTTGACTTAGCCTCAGAGCTTTCCCTGGAATATGGTTCCTTTCTTCCTCTACTGTTTTGAAATCTGGGCTAAACAAGCTAACTTGAATATAACAGATGAAAAATTTTTTGTCAGATATAGTTTAAAAAAATCCAGCAATTTGAGTGTTCGTGTCTATGTAAATACATTTAAAAAGGGATTAAGCAATGTCTAACTTAAACTATATGAAATTCAGAATGGTAATTGGCAATATCAATTATTATATAGGTAATAAAAGTTAAACTCAGCTTTCTGTTAAAGATAACTCATTTGGGATACTATCTTTCCTTCTATTTCAAACAAAAATCAATGAGATGCTATCAGAATACATAGATGCAGTGCATTGCATACAAATCCACCAGGCTATGGATATTTATATATATATATATATACGTATAAAAATATTTGGCTCCTGAGCTCTGGATTCTGACAAACAAAGAATAAAAATGTCAAAAAGGCAGAGTAACTCAGTGAAAAACAGTTAGCCAGTAACCTCAGATAATCATTGGCTGTATGTCCTTAAGGTTTGCTAACAATCCCATTAACCGTGAAAGCCCTAGTCAGTGTCACTTTGAACTTCTAAAACCAATACCCGACTACGTTCTTTGATCAAGAAGTAGAATATACATTTAGAGTTCTATAAAGCTAATACTGATTAAACACAGCACAAAAGGATTAGTTTCCACTAATGAAAAAAAAACATAATGGGACCCTACTTGCATATGTAGCCACAGGAATTATACATTTTAAAAAAGCTAAACGTCTTCGCTGAAGCTTTGCATCTCTCTGTAAAAATGACGATTTGGTTCAGTGAAGACACTGAGTGATTCAATGTCCAAGACTGCATGCCAAGGTTGCCCGAGGCCCAGGGATACCTGCTCAATAAGGTTATGCACTGGATCCACATCCTGGTCGGCTAGTTCACCTTGGTCAAAATCAATGCTTTCCTCGGTGACTTCCAGCACTTTGAGGTCGGAGCCCCGAAGACGAGCAATGGCAATGAGGTTGTGTGCCCACACGGTGTAACCTTAAAGACAAGCAAAAGGCAACTCTGTCACTCTCCTGGTTCACCCTGCCTCTGCTAAGTTACTCTTTCCTCAGCAAGCACGTCTTGTGAAGCTTCACACTTGTATTTAGCATGTTGGTCCTTTCCCTTAGAACACACTGAGAATAAAGAAACACGATTATCTAGGAGATTATCTTACTATCTTTAAGAACACCATAGAACTGTGACCTAGAATTCTGGTGTATAATCTTATTCTGGCATTTCATTCAGCAAAACAGAAGACATTTAAAGTATATAACTAAAACCTTTAACTTTGGATAAGGACATACCACAAAGAACAGATTTCATTTCCAACGTAAGTCTCTATTGACAATATACAGTAGCCTGCAGTTTTCCATTGTAAAAATCATTCTCTATGGGGCCTCACAGTCATAGTCTCAAGTTCAGGACACTTGAAACTTTAAAGTTAACTGCTCGTTATCAGAAGTCATGGAAACAGAGAGCAGGGGTCACCTCTGGGAAAGGGGAAGGGGCCAGATGATGGGCAAGCTTTACCTAGCTAACATCTTGAAAGAAGAAAAAAATGTAATAAAAGGGCTGATTTAAATGAACTTTTAAATAACTTGATGTTTCGGGCTGGAGAGATGGCTCAGCAGTTAAGAGCACTGACTGCTCTTCCAGAGGTCCTGAGTTCAAGTCCCAGCAACCACATGGTGGCTCACAACCATCTTTAATGGGATTGATGCCCTCTTCTGGTGTGTCTGAAGAGAGCAATGGTGAATACATAAAATAAATAAATAAATCTTTAAAAAAAAAAAAACTTGACATTTGCTGATCCTCGTTTTACTTCATATATTTTTGTGTGTGTGTACTGTATAAGCACGTATGCATGCATGTAAGTTTACATGTGTGTGGGTGCACATGAATAGGACTGCCTGTGGAGGCCCCAAGACGACACTGGGTGTCTTCCCTGGTTGGTCTTTATTCGTTGAAGCAGGATCCTGAGATCGACTGGCTCGTCTAGCTAGTCAGCTGACCCAGGGTTCTCCCTGCCCGAGAATGGGATGCGAGGTTGCCACCAAGCACGGTGGGCTGTGATGTGGGATCTGAACTCTGGTCCTACATTTAGGCAGTAAGCATTTAATTCACTGAACCACTTCCCCCAAGAACCCCTTACTACTTCTAATATGGACCTGTTTCTTGCTACTATCTGTAATGCATGGTCCAAGTATGAAGATGTGAAAATCACAACTGCAGGCTAAGAAAAATGGTTTCAAAAACAATGTAAGAGATATCAGAGAGTTTAAGATATTCTTCGCTTGTTTTGTTATTTTTAAACAAGGTCTCACTCTATAGCTCAGGCAGGACCAGAACTCACTTATGTAGCCCAGGCTGGCCTCTTAAACTCGTGACAATCCTATACCAGTCTCTCAAAAAGTAAGATTATGTGTGATACCATGCCCAGCTAAGTCATTTTCATAGATTATTTTTGTAACTGTCTTTGAAGTAAAATATTCTCTTAGTTTATCAGAAGAGCAACTCTATTCAAATGTAACAGTTCACACACTAAGATGACTACCTAAGAGATAAACATGTACCTAACTAATAGTTATTTTAACAATATAGTAAATACATTAGAATCTAAAGGATGTACATATAAAAGCTCAATACTTTCCCTCCTTCTGTGCTAAGTAGTTGAGGATCTTCTGACTGGAAAGAATATATCCACAGCAGGTAGACATAATCTAGTTACTTAGCCGTAGCAGGAGAGAGCATCAGAGGAGTGCAAGCATCAGAGGAGAGCTTGGACAGAGCACTCAGGGTTGAGATACAACTCTCTACTTGTGATATATTTACTAGCATAAAATATTTTAGGCATGATGTTAATATCAAATTATAGTGAACAAAACCACATACCATGAATTGCCAAAAGGGTGAGCTTTGTGCACCTCCATGCTAATAAAACCAATGGATCTTCATTTCGGTTGTCACTAAGATCTGGAAAACCAGATGTTTCAATCATATCATTCATTAATATAAAATGGGTGAGGAACTTGTCATACTGCCTGGATATAAGATCAACAATAGCCCCTGAGACACAAGTGACGTAGCTGTCAAAGTGAACCCTCTCAAGTGGTATACTGGGTTTCAGAATCTTTAGCATGTCTTCACTTTTAACATCAAAAACCATTAGATAGACCCGGAGGCTGGAGCTCTTTCGTGACAGGGCTTTCCAGTGCTCATCGTTTGGGATGTTGTCTAATGACTTGAGCATCACTGAAGCATTGTGGACCAGAAGAGACAGTCGCTGCAAAGGCACATGGTTGCTATCGGTCAAGACTCTCGCCATCTCGGCTGTGAAGTCACAGAAATCCAGGGCAAGCGAACGCAGATTTACAAAGCGCTCTAGTTCGACTGCAGTGATCAGAGTGCAGCTGCCAGGAATGTTGTTGTCCAGTAGACTCAGGTGCTCCATGGTGCTGGCAATGGCGTTCGACAGAGACGACAGTGAGGCTGGGGTCACTATGTCCAGCATAAACCCACAGGACAGCCACTTTAGTTGCCTACTATTGCTCAGTACTTCTTCAAACAGCTGCTGAATTCTACAAGGAAAATGTCACAGTTTTGTCACTAGTACTCAGGATCAATTTTTTAATGGTGACTTTAAAAAATGGGCAATACGTGGCACTCAATGCTGAGATACATTTTTCCTCAATAATTGATTTCTATTATTTAAACCTACAAATGCAATTAAAATTCACATTACAATATAATAAATAAGATACATTAAACATGTAGAAATGCTTCTTATCCTAGGAAAATAGTATTTTTTTTTACTAATATTATGGAAGAAAAGACTGATGACATATGACTTAATAACAAAGGCAAGTGACAAGTTAACACCTCTGAATGGCAGTAAGGGACTGTGTAAAAGAAAACTTTCTTCTGCAGGAGTCCAGGTTCATTTCCCAGCACCCACAGAGTTGCTCACAACACCTGCCACTCTATTTCCAGGGGCTCTGACTCCCTCTTCTGACCTTTGTGGGAACCAGACATAAATGTGGTGCATATATATACATTCAGGCAAAACACTCAAACACAAAGTAAAAGAGTAAGAATTTTACCCCAATAATTACCCAGAAAGCTATATAATTTATCCTAAAAGACTTATGCCATGGTGTCATATAACCATCACTAAATGTATGGTTAAGACATTTCTAGGACATATAGTCTACCCCAACACACACACTCCTCCCTCCCTCTTCTGTGTGTGTGTGCATGCACGTGTGTCTGACAGTCTCTCAATCAGACCAGAGCTTGCTGAAAGAACCAGCCAGTTGGTCAGTTTGCTCTGGGGATTCCTGGTCTCTTGGTCTTCCAAGGTTAGAAAGACAGGTAGTCTGCAATGCCCATGTGGCATTCACCTGGGTTCTTCACGGTTATGGGTTAAGAGCTTAACTGCCAAGCCCCATATATTTTTAGAAAACAAAAGCCATTCTTGATTGTGCCTTGTGATTTTCAGAAAAGGGCTAAATTGATTAACACAAGCCTCTGTAAAGCTTACTGTATCACTTACTGCTTAATCTTCTTGCCGTCAGGGTCTACCCTGCTGAGGTATGTGCTGGACAAGCTTCCTTGCTGCTGTACAACACTTATGTCTCCAAAAAGACTAAACTTCTGGAGGTTCCTATAGGAAAAAATGGTTAAAATGATTTTCTAAATGTTTAATAATACATATACATACTAAAATATGTAGAAAGGACATCCTAGAAGAGCTTCCACTTTCTGACTCACTTAGAATCCAAATGAGCTTCTGACTGCTATACATATTCAGCCACACATGGAGAAACAGCATAAATGTTAAAGGAGGTGGACCAGGTAAAAAACTCATACTCAAGTTTTACTGACTGTGGAAAACAGTGACTGAGCCCAAATACTGAGCTCACAGGCCTTAGGTGTGAATAATGTGCAACACTAGGAACAGAAACATTTTAAGTTATAAGAAATGTCAATCATATGAACTCAAATAAGCCAGAGGTGGTGGGGCACACCTTTGTCTAAACACTAAAGAGGCAGAGACAGGCTATGCATTCAAGGCCAGCCTGAACTTCAAAGCTAGTCCTAGGACAACCACCAGGGCTGTTATATGGAGAAACTCTGTCTCAAAAAGCAAAAAATCCAAACCAACCAACCAACCAACCAACCAACCAACCACCACCACCACAACAAAAACCCATAAAACATATCCACACACAAATACAGTTCCCCACAATTCCCATACTCCAACACCAAACCAGACTAAACCAAATCAAACCAATCAATCAACCAAAACTTCTCACACATGAATGTAGGAATGGCCCTCAGAAGCTCAAGTATTTGAATATTGGTCATTAGGGAGTAGAGCTACTTGACAGGGATCAGGTGTGGCTGGACTAGAGCACGAGTGTCACTGAGGGTGGGCTTTGGGACTTTAGTAGCCCACACCAGACCTTGTCTTTCTTCCTCCTGCCTGTTGATCCAGATCCAGATGTAGAACTCTCAGCTCCTCTTCAGCACCATATAGCAGCACCAAGCTTTCTACTATGAGGATAACCTCTGAACTGTAAGCGAGCCCCAATTAAATGTTTTCCTTTATAGGAGTTACTGTGGTCATGGTGTCTCTTCACTAGGTAACTTAACTAAAAAATGGGGCACTGCCCAAAAGTTAGGTTTTGTAAGAAATACACTTAAGTAATATAAAGAAAACCTTCCCCAGTTCTGTGACCACATTTAGATTAAGTCAAAGGATATTTTTAAAAAACGATGTAAGCATCTTTAAAGTTTTAAATTTCAGCTATAAAATACTTTTCTAACAGCAAACTCTAAATAAATTACAAGAAAACAAATAGTTAAGATATGAACTCCTAAGTGGTAGTAGTAATCAGAGATTTCCTTAACATAAAACAGGATGACTTTAACGATAACTGTTTAATCCATAAAAATGATTAAAACCAATGTAGGATAATGTTAAGGAAAATGTTAGAAGGGTTAATAAAGGAAATACTAAGTTTTGTTGTTCAAAAAGTTTCAAACCAATCTTTCTAGTAATTTATGATAGCATCTCAGTGAAGGCTAGAAGCATTTTACATTTTAAAAAGCTCAAAGAAAATCATGAAATAAACACCCCAACATTTTTTCACATTAACAAAGGATACAGAAAGCTGCACCTTCCAGAAGGCAGAGCTAGGCAGAGCTGTTTTATATAGTGAGTTCCATAATAGCCAAGACTACATACAAAAGACTGTCTCAAAACACAACAAAAACCCCCAAAAAGGAAAAATAAAGCAGCAAAATGATGTACCCAACCAAAATCAAAACAATAGAAAGCAAAGGCAAAGCCAAAGACCAAAGCAACTCAACAACAAACAAAGGTTTTCCAGGGGGCCATCCCAAAAGCGGCTGCCTGACCATGGGATATGCTCTTCTATCTGGGCTGCCTGTCTGGCCTCAAAGGGAGCTGGGAGTCAGGGTGGGGGGAGAAGATCCCTGAGGGTGGCGAAGCACCTGATCAAAGAAGGAGATGGGGGATGGGAAAAGGATTGTGGGAGGGAGTGACTGGGAGGGGGGCAGTGAGCAGGATGTATAGTGAATAAGTTAAAAAAAAATTTTTTGTTCCTTTGAGAACTCCAGAGGGGCAGTGTAATATACAGTACTGTTAGCTCTGAAAGAATTTCCAGTTTGTCACTTTTGTATTATAGTTCATTAGATATGGAATTTTAAAAAGTTAATTTTTTAAAGGAAAAAACTTAAATACTTGTAAAATAGAAAGTGTTTAGAGGACGAGTTTTTATAAAGTAAAAATTGTCTCACACAGTCTCAGTGTTTTCCTCTACTATCCAGCCTCCACTGTGACTACTGCATGCCCGTAAGTGTGTGGGGCTATCACACAGTCTCAGTGTTTCCCTCTACTATCCAACCTTCACTGAGACTACTGCATGCCTGTGTGTGGGGCTATCACACAGTCTCAGTGTTTTCCTCTACTATCCAGCCTCCACTGTGACTACTGCATGCCTGTAAGTGTGTGGGACTATCACACAGTCTCAGTGTTTCCCTCTACTATCCAGCCTCCGCTGGGACTACTGCATGCCCGTAAGTGTGTGGGGCAGTAAAGCACACAGGCAGTTTTCAATTTGCTAAAGAGTTAAGATACAGGTCAATAATTCCAACTGGAAGAACTTACCCAAGAGAGATAAAAACATGTACTCATATAAAGAATTAGATTCAAAAGCCCACAGCAATTTTATTCATAATAGAAATAAAATTTAAAACAATTTAAATATTACCCAGTTGGTGAATAAACACATCAACATATCCACACAATGGAATAACCGATAAAAAAGTGCTTATATATAATATGGATATAAAGCAAAAATATAACAATTATGTATATTGTATTATTCTATTTGTAGAACAACTGAACAGTAGGGTCAGGTCATTGTTTCCTTAGGGCTAAAGATGGTGGACAGGGTAGATAGAATCTTTGTTAAGAAAAGTTCTACATGTTGAATTTGGTGGTCATACTACAGAATTAATTGTTAAATATCTCTTCAACTATACTCTTAAAAATAAGCTAGGAGGAGACCGGTGGTCCTTCCAGTTTGCACCTGTGCTGGGGGCAGTCTCTGCTCTGGATCCCCACCCACTTAGCCCATACCCAGATGCAGCCTGACCCCCAGGAGTTCTCATGCATCCAGGATCACAGGATCATAGGATCACAGAATCACAGGCTCACAGAAGGGACAGGAGAGACAGCGAGGCCAGTTAACACCAGAGATAACCAAATGGCAAGAGGCAAGTACAAGAACATAATCAACAGAAATCAATAGTACTTGGCAACATCAGAACCCAGTTCTCCTACCACAGCAAGCCCTGGATACCCCAACACACCCGAAAAGCAAGATTCAGATCTAAATTCTCATCTCATGAAGATGATAGAGGACACAGGCAAACGAGTAGAGGCCCCCAAAGAGGAAACACATAAATCTCATGAAGAAATCCAGGAAAACACAATCAAACAGGTAAAAAAATTGAACAAGACTGTCCAGGATCTAAAAATGGAAACAGAAACATTAAAGAATGTGGGGAAAATTTAGAGGCCGCTACAGTGGTGGGGGCCCAGAGGGGCTTCCACGCTGCGGTTCCAGCGGCCTGGAGGCCTTGGCGGTGGCAGGTCCCAATGACACGAGGAAGTCCTTGGTTCCAGAAAGGTTTATTGTCATGGCGGATGGTGGATGGATCTAGGTGTACCCCCAAGAACTCAGGGCAGTCCCGAGTTATATAGAGATGGAAAAAGGGGGAGGGTTGGGGGAGAATCTAGGGGAGGCATGCTTAATTTGCTCTGCCCTCTGGCCTTCATTAGTATGTAAATCCCTAAGGCCTGAGGCCTATAGTCTGGCCTATGTGACGGAACAATGTAATTTTATGAAGACATGACTGCTTTTTAGGACCCTGGATTCTGGGGGGCACCGAACTCCTGCCGGTACTCACGCAGAGTCTCGGGGTTCTAGGCACCTGCTCAACCATGACCCAGGATACCCTTACACAGTCCCACAAAAGAAAACAAGGAGCAGGAGCCACAGATGCAAGCATCTCCAACAGAATACAAGAGATAGAAGAGAGAATCTCAGGTATAGAAGGTACCATACAAGACATTGACTCAACAGTCAAGGAAAATATAAAAATCAAAAAACTCCTAACTCTAAACATTCAAGAAATCCAGGACACAATGAGAAGACCAAACCTAAGAATAACAGGTATAGGAAAGAGTGAAGATTCCCAACTTAAAGGGCCAGAAAACATCTTCAACAAAGTTATAGAAGAAAATTTCCCTAACCTAAAGAAAGAAATGTCCATAACCATACAAGAAGCATACAGAACACCAAACAGAAAAGAAATCCCTCTCATTACATAATAATTCAAACACTAAATGCACAGAACAAAGAAAGAATATTGAAAGTAGTAAGGGAAAAAGATCAAGTAACATATAAAGGCAGACGTATCAGAATTACACTAAACTTTTCAACAGAGACTCTAAAAGCCAGATCATCTTGGGCAGACCTGAAGAGAACATAAATGCCAACCCAGGCTACTATACCCAGCAAAACTCTCAATTACCATAGATGGAAAATCCAAGGTATCCCAAGACAAAACCAAATTTAAACAATATCTTTCCACTAATACAGCCCTACAGAAGACAATAGAAGGAAAAGTCCAACACAAGAAGGGAAACTACATCCAGGAAAAAGCAAGAAATTGAAGATAAACACAAAAACAAAACACCACCTCTAACAAAAAGAACAGGAAGCAACAATAACTGGTCCCTAATATCTCTCAACATCAATAAACTCAATTCCCTAATAAAAAGACATAGGCTAACAGACTGGATACATAAACAGGACCCAGCATTTTGCTGGATACAAGAAACACACCTCAGTGACAAAGACAGACACTACCTCAAAGTGAAAGGCTGGAAAAAAATTTTCTTTTTCTTTTCTTTTTAAAAAATTATTATTTATTTAATGTATATGAGTACACTGTAGCTGTCTTCAGACACACCAGAAGAGGGCATTAGATCCTATTACAGATGGTTGTGAGCCACCATGTGGTTGCTGGGAATTGAACTCAGGACCTCTGGAAGAACAGTCAGTG